GGAGGTCACGCATGCAAGAAGTTTGAGCTTGATGCAAATGACTAAAATTTTTTTGCTTTATATGATTAGCAATCAAATAAAAAGTTATTTTGTGTATCAATCCTTATATCACCTACTACTGGTGGGGTGACAACGAGTTTTGGTATGTTGGGGGATATCATTGTTGTTGAACCCAATGCCTATATTGCATTTGCAGGTAAAAGAGTAAGTGAACAAATATTAAATAAAATAGTACCTGAAGGTTCACAAGCAGCTGAATATTTATTCCAGAAGGGCTTATTCGATCTAATCGTACCACTTAGTATTTTAAAAAGCGTTCTAAGTGAGTTATTTCAACTCCATGCTTTCTTTCCTTTGAATCAAAATTCAATCAGGTAGAACATTAAGTTCAATTATTTTATTTGTAGCAAACAAGAAGTTAAGTTATTGGAATCCAAGTAAAAATAAAAATAATTGAGTTTTCTTTGGTGACATAAGATCTACTTGTAGAAAGAATCAAAAGTTTCAGATAACTCTTTTTTTTTTTTTACTTATATTGTTGATTACTAATTAACAAGCTCTATCAACAAAATAAAAGAGTGAATTCTTCTTTTCATGAAATTTGGCGAATAAAACGAATTTTCAATTCCCGTCTTACATAAACTCTATTTTATATCTTCCGAGAATCCCATTTTGACTAGAAATCCCGGTTGAATTGGATTCTAATGAATCTTTTGATAATTTGTAATAAAATTTTTTCTTTATTAAACTAGAAGACAAGAAAAAAAAAACGGAGAAAGGAAGAATAACGTGAAATTCAATTATCATACATATCTTTCATGTAGAAAAATCATGAATTGGTCCATTTATTTAGTTCGACATTCCTTGTGCTTAGTATATATACTCAGTTAGAGATATATTATATATACTCACTATGTACTTATGTATACTAATTTAATTCTAATTAAATTAATAATTAATTAAATTTATTTGAAATTAGTTAATTTAATTTCGAATTCGATTTTCATTATCTGTAGCATTATGTATAGATAGTAATTCTCTACTATATCTTCAAATTAATAAGAATTCCAATTCTTAATTATAATTATTATAAGATATCTTTATCATTTTAAATAATAAAAATAGGTAAAAACAAAATAATAAATCGAGGTACCCATTCTATTATAACTCTCAACCTTCCCTCTATTTTTGTGCCTTTAATAGACCTAGTATTTCTGGCAATTGCAATAGCTTCTTTATCTCTTCATGTTAAAAAAAAAAAAAAGATCGTGTAGATCCAATGGGATCCAGTCTCATCTATTTTTTTTTTTCAAACTTAGACTTGTATCATAACACTGATATCTATTTCGTGGAATATGATATAACATGTGGCTTCCACCGAACATATAAGAAAAGTTCTTATGCTTGCAGAAAATGCTATATGGGTAAATGACTTTTAACTATTTTCAAATAGGTTAGGGTTGCTGGATGGTTGAAATGTAATTTCAGCGTATTTATATGTATGTCAATATCTATAGTAGGATTATATGAAAGGTCTGGTATTATTTTCGATTTTACATCTAACCAATTTGATGAATGACTCCTAAAGGTTCGCATCAAACTAGTGCTAGTTGATGAGAGTTACTTCGAAACAAAAAGAGTAAAGTCAAATTCATTTGGGGTCTTTTATCAATTTTAATAAAATACAACTAAATCAAGTATGAATTAACGATCAGAACATATATGTATAGAACCTATAATAGGGTCTTGAAAAGCAAATAATTTCTAGTGAGCCATTATCATTAATATCTTTATTTCCATCTCAGCAAATTATTTTTTGTCCACAAGGAATCATGATGCCTTTCTATGGGATCGCTGGTCTTTTTAATAGTTCCTATTTGTGGTGCACAATTTCGTGGAATGTAGGTAGTGGTTATGATCGATTCGATAGAAAAGAAGGAATAGTGTGTATTTTTTGTTGGGGATTTCCCGAAAAAAATCGTCACATCGTTCTCCGATTCCTTACAAAAGATATTTAGTTTGTCAAAATGGAAGTTAAAATGGGTATTTATGCTCGTCGTGTCCTTTATATGGACATTAGAGCTTAGGGGCTATTCCCTTGCTCTATAATGGGCTCATCCACCCTAGGCCGATCGAACTGTGATTGCTTTTTGGCAACCATCGCTTTGGGGTCACGCTCCTAACTTTGGCCACTGACCCCAATCTTCACTACAACGTAGAAACAGCTCTTTGATGACGCCTGATCACTGCGGATTTCCATTATGCCACGGGGGGTGGGGAACTTTACTTTCTAATGATAGGATGAGTGAATTGCCTTCATTGCATGCAACCAAGTTCTGTCCACAATTGCATTGTATGAGGAGTCGGTGTCTATTACCACGAACTCTACGGGGACAGTGACAATCCCAGCACGCACCATAAGGTTGATTTTTCCAAGGGGAAAGGTGTTGGAATCATTGAAGCCTATAATGGGGGTCCTTACAGGTTCCAGATCTCCCGATGAAAGCCCCATTTTGCGGAAGAGGTGGTCGTAAATCATTTCAGATGAATTGCCTAAGTCCACCAAAATTCTCTTGACATCAAACTTGTCGACCCGTAAGGTGATCACCAATGCATCTTCACGGGGGAGAACTATCCCACCAAGGTCGGCATCAAAAAATTGAATTACCTCGGTGCCATGTCATGGCTTCTTGGGTGGTCACTCCTCACCCCTTTTTTGCACTCTTACCGCTTGAGAGACCTTCTGTAACTCGGCGCGGAGGGAGTTATACATCGGCCTTCCCATGGTGTAGGCATGTATGACATCAATCACAGGTGCCACCTCAGTAGACACCTTAGTACCTTTCCTTGCCGATCCCCCAGGAGCTCCTCTATCGATGAATTCTCCTAGATGTCCATCTCAAACCAACTATTCAAGGAAGGACTTATATACCCTTTAATCTTCTGTTAGATGCCCGATATCCTTGTGATAAGAACACCGGGATGTTGAATCCCTCATCGACGGGTCTCCTTGCATCTTGGGGGGCCATTTAAAGTAGGGCTTGTCTTTTATCTTGTTTAGCATCCTGTAAATGAGCTCCTTAAAGACCGTGTTCACCCCCTAGAAGGACAAGCAATTTGGGGGTGAAAAGGGTGCCCCTCTAGGCTGGTTATTCCTTCTCTCTCTTCCTCGGCGCCGGGACTCTATTATCAGGCATGTTGGTTTCTTCCACCACTTGGGCGTACTTGTTGATCCGGGCCATCAAGTCTTTCATATCCGCTGGAGCCCTCTTGGTCAGTGATTTGTATAGATCGGTGTCCTAGGATAACCTCAGCCTAAATGATGCTACGACCATTGCCTCTGAAGATGCCTCGACTTCGTTAACCTCCTCCCAGTACCGGATGGCATATTGCCAAAAGGACTTCCCACCTTTTCGCCTAAGCGTTAATAGGGCGTCGATGTCCTTCGACTTTTTACTGCTGGTGATGAATCGAGCTATAAAGAGTTCTGTCAACTGTTTCTAGGATCTAATGCTCTTAGGGGCCAAGTTCTCATACTACATTATGCCCGTGTCCCCCAATCTCATGGGAAAAACTCGGCATAGCACCCTCTGATCGGTGTCGTAGATGGACATCAATTGTTTGTACTATCACAAGTGTCCCTTGGGATCTGTCCTTCCATCGTAGACTTTAAACTGTGGGATGGTGAATTTTTTTTGCATTTCGGTCTCCCTGATAGCCCAAACGAACGAGGAAATGATTTCTTCGTCGGCATCTCCCTTAGGCTTGAACTGACAGTATGCGTCGAGGTGCACCCGGGGATTCCCTCGGGGCCTCCTAGCTGTGGATTCTGCCTGGGACTCGGCTGCCATGGTATCCTCTGGTATCTCACGGCGGAGGTCCCACCGAGACAAGCTCGCCTTATAGCCCCATTCTGATGTCGCCTTGGGGGCCGACCACCCACTTTGACGGTCATGCTTCTCAGGCATGCGCCCATGTAAACGTACCTTGGTATTTTCATTCTCAAGTTGTTTAATGCGTTTGCCCATCCACTTCTCGACCATCTCAATGATATCATGAGCCAAGAGGTCTTACCCTCCAAGGCCTTGATCCACAGTGAGCGTTCGTTGCTAGGATTGCTCCCCTCCGCTTGACTAGCTCAAGGTACCTGGTTCTGGGACTATTAGAAGCCGAACAGCCTCTGCGTTTCTTACACGCGTACTTACTCCTCCTTCACTCTGAGATCGAGTGTTCACCATTAGACGATCTCTATGAAAAAAAATGCTCGCATTCCCACAGACGGGGCCAAATTGCACAGGATGATTCTTGCAACAGTTTGAGATAGCGTCCTTCTGTATAAGGGGGCCAGGTGAACACCCGGCTTGTCCCATTCAAAGCTTAAGTCAGTATAAGATTAAAGGCTCAAGCTCAATATCAACGTTTTTGGTTCAGTATCACGTTCCTTTGTTCATTTTTTGGAGGAGTATTTATACCTGGATTAACAATGATTGTGATGACTTTAAGTCCCATTTGAGTATTAAAGGCATGACACTTTTACCTAGGAAAATTTGAATGTTCTCCCCTAGGATCTTCACTCATTTAATGTAAAGATGATAGGACAAGCACTCGGGGACAAGCCGAGCACTTATGGCTATCCCCGAGCACTCAAACGCCTATGATCAGTGTCTGACACCTACTGCAGTGTTCAATGCTCGGGGGAACAATACCTCGGAGACCTCCGGGGATATATACTCGGCGTAATAGCCATTAATATTTAGCCATCATGACCACAGGCCTAGGTTCTGAGGACATGGGGGTTCATTAATGTCACTGTCTCCATCACTCGCATCGCCATAAATGACTAGTCAAGTCACATTTAATGTGGGTGTCAGGTTATGCACTCGGCGCCTCAGAGTCGTGATCTCTCAACTCGAGTCCTTGGCGCCCTTTGATCTCTATAACGACTTTAATTTTACACGTGTCGTTTTAGGGGCCGCTGAGTTGTCTAGAGTTCCACCACTATGATTTCTCAACCTTACCCTTTTTTCTCTTGGTTCACAATTTCTTCGTATCACACCCTCAGGCCTCACCTTGACCCCAACTCTTTACATGGATTGAAACTTTTAGCAAAGGTTAGTTTTTTTGCAAGATTGATTTCCTTATCATTTGTTTTTTAAACTTTTTTCTTTGAAAAAATCTAGGAGGGGGCTAGTGGGTTATGTGTTATTGCTACTTGATAATGATTCGATATTGATTGCTGTTGTAGGTAGAAATACTTGGAGTTTCTCTTCCATGGAGATTCATTTTTGTCCGTGAGGGCCCTGGCACAATGTTATGTGAACAAGCCAATAACTGTCAAAAGGAAACGAACCCCTTTTTATCTAGTATAGACTCCAACCTTGCTTCTGCTTTATCCAATGATGAAGAGTTAACACGTGTGCAACAATATACAACTACCAGCACATGGGTAGACCTTTTGACAGGGAGGAAAGGCTTTCGGGGTCCATTTCTCAGCCCATAATGGAAACACTAATGCTATTGGGACATAATTAAAGGACATAATTTGGGGACATAATGAGTTGCCACCAATGAAATGATAGTGAAATGTATTAAATAATGGGTCCCATTATAGCATTAATGAATTCATTATCATATCATTAGTGACAACTCATTATATCTCAATAGCATTGCTCGGAAACATTAATGCTATTGAGATATAATTTGCAAAACGTCGTGCATGAGGGGGTTGACTTTCTTGACTTCTTGGATAGTGATGCCATTCAACACACAAATGATGGAAATGACTCTAATGTCATTTCATCACAAGTTGGAGGACCTTTAGATGATGGTGCTGGGCAATACATAAATTGTTTCAAATTCCTTACGGGCCCACATATGGTATGTTAGTATTTGTTCAGAATGGTTCCTTGGGCAGTCATGCTATTGCTTGCATACTCTTATTCTTGTGATTCTTTAAGACTTGTGAAATTTCTTAGTGTCCCAATAGTTCTGTTTTTCACACTTGATGCCCTAGGGTTCGTTGTTTATAGCGGTGGTAAAATGCTAGGGCTTACGACCTCGAGGTTGTAGGCTCGAATACAAGTGCAAGTACTTCAGGAAATATCACCTATATTCTGGTGTGTACCTTGTCCACCCATCCTAGCAAACTGGCTTGGTTATCAGCGAGCCAGACATCCTTTTCAAATATGATACCTTAGCATCTTGGCTTTTCTCTTTCTTCATCTTTTTACTTGCACTATACTAGGTATCAATCCACTGGTTGGTTTGCGTCAATATGAACGTGGTTGCAATTCTATCTAGTTTCTCATTGATTTATGTTGGTTAAAGTGTACTTATATATCCTTCTTACGCTGTTGATTCTGAAATCATTAATGAGGATTGTGAATCTTGATGAATGTTCTAATTAATGTTTCTCTACTTTGGAATACAACCTTTAAATTTGTCTAAAGTTTTTTGGGCAAACTACTTGATCTTGAGCTTGGCCAAGTGTTTATATTAAGTTTTAGGAGTGCATCCAATCATATGAAATTGCAGACAATGGACAACTGACCCCTATTTTGAAAGGGCACTCCAACACCAAGAGGAAATCATCAGTTCTGGAGTTATAGACAAGGAACTCCATTTTGTTGACTCTTCTAGATAGAATAGAACCCATATTTTGTCATATTTGAAAGACGAATTTGATCCTGACTTCATTTTGTTGACTCTACTAGATAGAATAAAACTCATATTTTTTCATGCTTAAAAGACGAGTTTGATCCTGACTCCGAGGAAATGCTAGCTATATGCTTCACACATGCAAATCGAACATTATTTTTGGAGAGTTAGGAAGAAGGAATAAAAAAAACTTGCGTCCATGCGACTGATGATGCAAAACTCTTTTTCTACATATAGAGTCAAGTTGTTAAATGCACATATGTTGCCACCATTTTCTGAGATATTTTAAAAAGGAAAATGCTACAGAACACACAAACTTGCTCATGTTTAATTCACCAAGTGGTAGCATAAGAAGCATGAATACGAATATGACACGACAAGATGTGGACACACAAGCAGTAATGCCCGGACATGTCTTGGATACACTACAATTTAGTGTTATAACAGGTTATATAATTTATTACTAATAGAGAAATAAGTATATTACTATTCATAAAATATATAGCACTACATGATAAGCAAATCTTATATTTAGTTATCTCGCATAGTTTTTCAGATTAAAGGATCATAGTTATTGACAATCATAGCCAACATACACACAACAATGATAACTCTCATGTTCTCAGTTTCTCCTCTTTAGCAAAATATTTATGTATCTTTTATTTTTATTAATGAACTAGTGGCGGTCGCGTGCGATGCGCGAAATTTGCAGACATCCTTGAACTAGCGGCGGTGGCGGTCACATCTATTTGTTAATAGAATGTCTTCAAATGGCATTGCTCTTTGAGCCATTCTTTATTGGCAGATTCTTAGTGGGACATGTTGATGTTTAATGTATTGGACGGAGTAAAATTTGCCACTATACTATTTTTTTCCCTTGTTTTCCATCTATATATTCTGACTGATTTGATTGCTCATATGGAATGAATGTTCTATTCGGTAACGACTAAATAGCTTGGAAGACGAAGTGAAACTCAAAGATATTCAAACACACATTACTGCTAGTACTTTTTTAGTATATAATATACATTTGACCATAGAATTCAATCTGATAATTACATGTATATAATAATTTAATATATATAGAACTTTACTTCATATAGATATAGAAAATTTTATGTAATTATACTATTAATAAATAAGTTCAAAAAAATTTAGAAGTCCTTATAAAAGAGTTCAAAATAAATTAAAAGTCAAATAGGAATTAAAAACAAAAATTAGACGAAAGTATAAAGGTAAGTATATTTGACTTTTATTATAATAATTAAGGATAAAATAAGAAATCAAAATTTTTTCCTTTATGGTTATATTCCTTTATTGGAATTGTGCGTGCAGGATCTTGCACAATATAAACACGAGGACAGATCTCTCCCGTGGTAAACACGTATCCGAAATTGGGTGGTTGATTTTGCTAGTTGAACAGGTTATGGGGGTCGAAGGTCGATAATCAATCGTTGGTATGAGTCACCTGAGTGATCCTGGAAAACTGAAGGGGGTTCCTAAAACAAAGAAAAACAGGTTAGAAGGGCGCCGGAGTGTTTTCCGGCGTATCCCCTCCGACGATCAAGTCAGTTCTTTGAGAGAGGGGAAGAAGAGAACACTGTATGAAGGTTGAGAGAGGGTTTATTGCGTACCTCATCATGTGTTTTGTGAGGAGTATTTATACCTTAAAAACTCATGATTGCTGTCAGTATGACCAGTAGGTGATCATTAGAGGTGGGTAACGTGCGCACTGGTTTTTTGGAGAAATGACACCTTCCTTAACTGCTCGGGATCCCGAGCAACTAATGCATCACCCTCGGTTTGTTGAGCGTTTAATGACCTTTACTCGGTAGGGATATATAAAATGCTCGGTCACAGGAACATTCATTGTCTTTCACTTTCGGGTCTTCACATATTAGATGCTATCTTATCAAGGGAAAGGTGCATTAAATACTTGCTTTCCCAAGTCGTGTGTCAGCAAGGGCATTCTGGTCTTTTTGCCTCTGATCTGACACAGTACTCCACGTGCCAGCTCCCCTTTGGTTGAGTCTTTTACTTTCCTGTGCGTGTTGATACCATCTAGGTAAGACCAGGTCATGATGACTAATCTAGCCTAGCCCAGGCTGATGACCTGTCTATCAATAGCCTTGTAGGAACAAGAACGCCGATGTATTGGGTACACATCGGTGCCGAGGGCCTAATACGGTTAGGGGCCAATGTGCCCACCCATTCGACTGAGGAATATGTGTTGCCCATGCATACCGGTATCGTAGATCCTTATGCATAGTACCATCTCGGGGGAAGAGGGATCATGATCCGACGAGCACGTGTTGTGATCACAGCAGAGAGTATTTCTTGACACTAAGTACACGTGTCGCTATCTTGGAGTGTCCAAAAAATGTCTCGTCAACTGCCCCCAGCCTTCGATCTTCTGACCCCGAGGACACGCGTCGTAAGGAGACGAAGGGTTTTGCAACTACCCCAACCACTTCATCATTGCCTCTAGTCGCTTTCCTCTGCTTAGGAGGTCGTGCGTATTAAATACGCCTCTTCGTGCCCAATGATGGGGATGGGTACTATATAAATGGGTCCTCTTTCTCCCTCTCACACTTCGCCATTTCGAACTCTTTAGAGAGCCCTCGCCTGAAATCTCGCCGGAGACCCAATTCCTTACGTTGTCTACAAACGAATCTTCATTGGAGTCTTAAGGCCAGCAGACCCATCCTTGCTTCTGAACCTTCTGGAGGAAGGAACCACTCCAATTTTTGAAGAAAACCTTCGTTCAAGTTCTGGTGAGTCCTTGTATTTTCCTTCTCTCCTTGTATTTTTGATTCTTTGATAACCGGAGGTGTTTCTGGTTGTCATTCTGTGACCAACCTTCAGGAAACCCCTAGGGGATCTTCGTAAAAAAAACTTTGTCCTTCCTCTTTAGTTTTTATCTTCTTTGGAGATGCCCCGACGTCGGCCTGTCACCGAGGATCCCCAGGCCAGTTCCTCGAGGTCCGAGAAGTACAAAGTGAAGGGAGAAGAGCAGATTAATAGGTTTAGGGCTCGATACCGCATTCCCCCAAACGTAGGTATAGATGAGTACGACCCAGTTTTGCACAACCGTATTATCGGGGCCGAGAATGAGATGCCATTTTTCACCAAGACAATCATAGATGGTGGAATTAGGTTCCCCTTGCCTCCTCTACTCCTCCAGTTCCTCGCCCATTTCAGACTCTTCCCGGGGCAGTGTTGCCTTAACGTATTTTGGATAATAATGGGGGTCTTAGAGCTTAACAACCGTCTCGGGGTAAACGTTGGGCTCAACGATATCCTTTTTTGCTACTCCCTGTTGAGGGTCATGCCTCAGCAGAATTTCTACCTCAAAGCCAGGGATCCCTTAATGTACCTTGTAACTTACCTCCCTGACTTAGACAAAGGATACAAGAATGACCTTCTGATCTTCAGTGGATCCTGGCAGCGGGGGACTGGTCCCGAGTACAGTGGCCTGATGTGTCCTTTTAAATGGAGAACGACAAGTCCGTCGGCCTCTCCGAGTCTACTGTTTTTGTCCTTGGGATGTTTTTTAGAAGTGTTAATAACATTCTTTCTTGTGCAGACGTCTCCGCCCGGGAAGTTACCCCTCCCCCTTGGTCCTTGGTGAACTTTGCTGATCTGGTCACTGTTTGGAGATTTGTTGGCGACGACGGGTTCGGCCGGGCTGCTCATATCCTCCTGAACTACACTCCTGGGTATAAAAAGTTTTCACAGCTCCCCCAGCCTTTGGAGCCTTCGCGGTGGTCTAAACTCTTCGATCAGGCTGCGCAACAAGAGGCCTAGGAGAACTTGGAGGAAGACCCCGACAGGGCTACTGAG